CGGAAGAAGAAGAAACTAGTATCAAGATTGAGGAATCTGACGAGGAGAAAGGCATCGAGGAAGTGATTACTGAACTCGGAGTAGCAGGGAAAATAATAGTTGGGAGACTTGGCTCAACTAGGGTTATGAAGAACATATTGAAGGAGGTATGGCGACTGACAAAAGACTTTGAAATCAGGATTAAGGAGGAAGGAATCATGCTCATCCAGTTCTACTGCTATGAAGACCGTGAGAGGGTTCTGTTTGGGGGACCCTGGCACTACGAAAAGCAACTTATTGTGTTCAAGGAGATACCGCCAGACTTAGAAATACAGGAAATCAATTTTTCCACAACTGACATCTGGACAAGGATCCGCAAGATCCCTTTGAAGCTGAGAAATAGAAACATGGCAACAAAAATAGAGGGAATGTTTGGATCTTTCCTAAAATGGGATGGACATCATTCTGGACGTGACAGCGACTATCTAAGGATCAGGGTCTCCATCAATGTTAGGAAACCTTTAAGAAGATTTGTGAAGTTGGACGGCCCCCAAGGTCCCATGGCATATAAGGTGGCCTATGAGAAACTTCCAATCTATTGCTACCACTGTGGAATCTTGGGACACCTGAAGAACGGATGTCCAAAAAAGTTGGAAACCCCAGAAGTGGAGTTGACAGAGGAGTATGGTACCTGGCTGCGTGCAGAATCCCCTCTGAGAAGAGTTGATATCCAAGCTAAGGAAGAAAATAAAAGGATGGATAGTCTATGGAACGACCTGAAAGAAGGCAAAATTGTGAAAGGGCCTCGGAATAAAAGAGTGGAACAGTTGGATAAACAGATAGAGGGGGACAGAACAGAGCCAATTGGAAGAGAGATAGCCATCAATTTGGATGCCAACTCCACACAAGAACCTGAATTAAAGGGGACTGAGTCAAGGGAGATAACCACAAAGGAGCTGGATAGTGAGCTTGAAGCTATAAGCTCCAACAGGCGAGGAACATAAAATGACACAGAAGGTAAGCAATCCCCTCAGGAAAATGAGTCAACAAATGCTACAGTACACGAAGACGGACATGACCCTGATGGAAAGAATGGTAAACCTGATGCTATAATCCACAATGAGGAAAACTTAGAAGATCAAAGCGGAAAGGAAGAAAATCCCTTAGACCACAAGATAGAGACCAAGCATACAAATAGCAGGAAGTGGATTCGGCTGGAGAGAATGAAAAGTGATAAACAGGATGGAGTTGAGAAACCAGTGAGTGGTAAAAGGGTACATGAGGATGGAGTGGTGGATATGGAGATTGATCCTATACCATGTGGTGGAAAAAAGATGAAGCAGACTTCAAAAATTGATGTGGATGGCGATGAGGCGGACCTTGCCGGTGAGCAAGGCCGCCGAGCCCAATGAGGCTCATAAGTTACAACTGTCGAGGGCTGGGCCAACCCTCGGTAGTTGATGAGTTGAAGAGGCTCGTGGGGAAACAAAAAACAGATGTGCTGTTCCTGATGGAAACTCGTCTTTCAAACAAGGAGTGGAAAAAGGTTAAATGAATTCTCGGCTACAAGAACAGTTGGGGTATCCCAGCTAGAGAGGATAGGGGGATTAAAGCAGGGGGAATTTGTCTGTTCTGGAGAGAGGGGATCAAAATCTCCTATCTGTCCAATGCTACAAACTATTATGATGCTATAGTGGATTATGAGGATGAAGGACTTAAATGGCGTCTAACGGGTTTCTATGGGAACCCCTACAGAAGCGAAAGAGACCAGTCTTGGGAGCAACTTAGGAGGCTAAAAGGTATGTCTGATTTGCCATGGTTATGCATGGGAGACTTCAACCAAGTCATGGCAGGGGATGAGAAGGAAGGTGGACGGCTCATAAATGAGAGTATGGTGATTAAATTCTGTGATACAATGGAATTCTGTGGTCTCATAGATTGTGGTTTTGAGGGATACCCCTATACATGGGACAATGGCAGGGGGGTTCTGGCTTTATAGAAGAAAGATTAGATAGATACATGGCTAACTGGGAATGGCAGCTCCAGTTCCCACATCACAAAGTCTTTCACCTGGATAGGTGTGGATCGGATCACTGTCCAATTCTTATGATCACGAAGGATAAGGAGGAAGAAGAAATTAAATGGGGATGGCAATTTAGAGTAGAATCCTACTGGCTAAAAGAAGCTGAGAGCAGGGAAGTGGTATCCAAAGCCTGTAACTCCTCTAAGGATGGCAACATTTTGGAGATCCTGGGTGAATGTAAAAGAGAACTTCAAAGATGGAGTAGAGAGAAGTTTTGGAACCTATAAAAAAGAGTTGAGAAGATTGACAAGGAGTTGAACCGAATCAAATATTATCCAAATGCAGAACAACAAATTCAGAGAAGGAGCTTGGAAGCTGAAAGAACGGAACTTATCCACAACATTGAACTGAAATGGAAGCAGAGATCTAGAGCAGACTGGCTAAAAGGAGGAGATAAGAACATGAATTTCTTCCACACGAAAGCTACCATGAGAAGAAAGCGAAACACAATCAAGGAGCTCAATGATGAATTGGGTAGAAAATACAAGGGTCAAAATGAGGTTTCCAACCATCTGTTTATTACTACAGCAGTGTTTTTACTGGGATGTCTAACCCTGTGTCTGATTTTGTAGTCAATGCCACTGAAAGAAGAGTCACAGATTATACGAATGAGGAGCTGCCTGCTCCTTTCAAAGAAGAGGAAATCTAAAACGCTCTAAAACAGATGAACTCCACAAAAGCTCCTGGCTCGGATGGTTTTCCTGCAGGATTCTATCAGCAAAATTGGGAATCCATTGGGGCACATGTCACGAGGTCTATCTTGAATTATCTCAATGATGGATACCTCCCCCCTGAAGTCAATCACACACTAATCGTTCTCATCCCCAAGGTAAAGAAGCCTACTATGGCTAAGGATTACCGCCCAATTAGTCTCTGCAGGGTGATTTACAAAATTGCTTCTATGGTCCTGGGCTCCTGGCCAATAGACTCAAGGTTTTTCTTAATGAGATAATATCTGATGAACAGAGTGCTTTTATAAAAGGCAGATTTATTACCGACAACATCATCACTGCTTTTGAATGCTTTCAGTATCTGAAGAGAAAGACCAAAGGAAAGAAGGCTTTTTTGCTGCTAAGTTAGATATGACCAAAGCCTATGATCGAGTTGAGTGGGATTTTCTGGAAAAGATGCTGCGCAAGCTTGGCTTCAATGAAAATTGGGTCAGGCTGGTTATGATGTGTGTGTGAAGTGTTTCATATTCAGGGTTGGTCAATGGACATCGATCAAAAGAAATAAAAACCTCGAGAGGTCTTAGACAAGGTGATCCTCTGTCACCCTACCTCTTTCTTATTTGTGCGGAGGGTTTCACAGCTCTACTTAAGAAAGCGGAGAAGGAAAGAAGAATCCAGGGAGTTAAGATATGTCACAGGGCGCCTACCATATCACACCTCCTCTTCCCTGATGACAGCATGGTCTTTGGCAGTGCTACCATAGAGGAGTGTGAAGAACTTAAAAGAATTCTGAAAGTCTACGAGGAGGAGTCTGCCCAAAGCATCAAACCTATCTAAATCTGAAGTGTCTTTTAGTAGGAACGTAAGATGGAGCAGAAGACTGGAGATCAGTGGAACGCTTGGGGTCAAAACTGTTGAAAAACACAATAAATATCTTGGCTTACCTACTGTTATTGGAAGATCGAAAAGTGAAGTTTTTGAAGAGCTAAAAGAAAGGGTGAGGAGAAGCTCAAGGAATGGAAAAGCCTATCTCTCTCTGCTGCAGGGAAAGAAGTTATAAAAGCGGTTGCCCAAGCGCAACTGATATACCCTATGATGGTATTCCAGATCCCAGATGGGATTTTATAGGAAATTCAGAGACTGATCGCCAGGTTCTGGTGGGGCCAAAAGAATGATGAGAAAAGGATACACTGGGTTAGTTGGGAAGAGCTATGCCTGCCTAAGGATGCTGGAGGGTTGGGATTCAAGGATCTAAGAACAGTCGATACTGCTATGCTAGGGAAACAAATATGGAATATTTTAAATCGGCCAAACTCTCTTATGGCTAAGATTCTCAAGGCGAGATACTACCCAAAAAATGAGTTACTGAATGCCAAACTTGGATACAATCCTAGCTTCATCTGGAGAAGCTTAGTTAAGGCAAAGGATGAGATTGTGGATGGATTCAGATGGAGGGTGGGTGATGGAGAAAGCATTAAGGTCTGGGAGGATTAGTGGATCCCTAGCATCAGGAAACTACCACCTAATCACCAAGGCGAGGAAGATGAAATTAACATAAAGGTGAGTTCTCTTATTGACAAAGACAATGGTTGGTGGGATCTCACACAGATTCAATCCCTGTTCTCAAGCCATGACGAAACGGAGATAATGAGGATCCCTCTAAGAAACCCCCCTACTGAGGATTCAGTTCTATGGTCCAAGACAGATAATGGTATTTACACAGTGAGATCAGCATACAGGGAGCTATGGCAAAAGAAATACCCTTGGAGGGATGAGAATAACAGCGACAATCAAAGCATCAAGAACTACTGGAAGTAGGGATGGCAATGGGTCGGGTTGGGGCGGGTTTTGCCAAACCCGAACTCAAACCCATGGGTTTTTCCGTAAAAAAAACCGAGGTAAAATCCGTTGTGTTTGAAAAACTCAAACCCAACCCAACCCGCTGGGTATCCGCGGGTTGATGGGTACCAGCGGGTTTTTTTGGTAAAATATTTATAAAATAATAATTAACAAGAAACTATCAAAATAAAAATCAAGCATAAATCTCAAAATAATAGCTCGACTGAGATCATACATAGATAGACTAATTGACAAAATGACTTTCTGGTACCAGAGTTTGTCAGAAGAGCCTTCAGCTTACACCACCAAGTTGGAACTCACCACCTATCAGTATTTTGCTTGTTGTTCCCGTTTTTCAAAAGAGAAGGAAAATCTGCAGAGGCAGTTCATCTAAGCTTTACTGTTCAGACTTTCAAGTACTTGATGGGAGTCTGAACATCCTTGTCCCCTCGGCCGCTGCAGTTCAGTACGACCTTAGTTTTATCAGGGAGGGTAGGGAAAAGCTTCTCAAGGTAAGCCAAAGCATGAGATGTCTCCAGAGCCGGGATTATGCCTTCTAGTCTTGATACTCTCTTAAATGCTGCACAGGTGAAAAGAAGTAGTCAGATGGATTGCTTTTACATCGTGAAGCTGTGCCAAAAAAGGGAGTTCTTCTGGTGTCTGATAGGAGCAAACCCACTGAACATGGGGATAGTCTAGCTATGTATATGGAAGTAGAGTATAGTTGTCTTCCACAACCAAAACTATGGTTCTAGGCTGATTATACGACATGTTAATGGATTTCAACCAGTTGACATATTAGTATTGATCAATCACAACCTCAGGCAAACTAACATGTTCTCCTATATCTTTACGACGTATGAAAAGTGATCAGATTGCGACTTACTCTCAAGCACCAGTGAGGTTAGCCAAAATATTAAATGCACCAAATGAGCTCTCCAAGGAACTAGTAATCAGGAAAGCATATGAAATATATAAAGCAGGCTTGGCAATTGGAAATTTGTTATACAAATAACATATTCAGATGCACAAGCCAAAACACAGTACTAATAATCACAAAAATGGCCTATTCAAGAGCATAGCGAAAGAAAGTACAACCTAGGAAGAACTTCCATACCTTCTAGTGCCTCCTCATCAGTGACACAATAGTATTCAGCACGGCCTTTCTCTTTCAGAAAGCTATGCTCAGGTCCAACTCCAGGGTAATCCAACCTATTCCAACAAGGCCACAATGAACCACGAACGACAAAGGTGTAATAGTCAAACCAAAAAGCAAACTATGAAGTAAACCAAATTAAAAAAGAAAAAACACCATATTCCCCATACAAACGAACCACTTCCAGTTTTTTTCACCTCTCCACCTAAGAGTCCGAGTCCCTCCATCCATCCGTCAAGACAGACATCAACTTCTAAATCATCAATCAACCCACTTGCTTGAAATGCAGGAATTCAAATCTGAATAAACTCCCAGCAAATGCAAATTACAATCTCAGATGCGCATTTAAACCCCAAGGGGCCACCCTACAACTACAACTACAGAAAGCAGCAAGTGGCGTTCAAATTATTTTTTACCTCCTCTTGTTCTTACTCCCCAGGGAGAGCCGGAGAGGGTGGCGGGGGCGCGGGGCACAGGAGCAGGGAGAGCCGGAGAGGGCGCGGCCAGTAATGGAGTCGGGACAGGAGGTGGAGAAGAGAGGTTTTGGTGGTGGCGGGGCGGCCGTCGCCCGTCGGGAATGGAGGTGGAGAAGAGAGGGGGAGGGCGCGTCGGGAATGGAGGCGGAAACTCGAGAGAGGTTTTGGTAGTGGCGGGGCGGCCGTCGCCCGTTGGATTGGGAGTCGGGACGGGAGGTGGAGAAGAGGATTCACGATCTCGCGGAGAGGCAGATGAGTCGCGGAGAGGAAGAGAGGAGTCGCGGTCTCGCGGAGAGGAAGAGGAGTCGCGATTAGGGATTGTGATTTGTGATTTGTCTCTGGGAAGGGAAGTGGGAAGTGGGGTGGGGTCTGGGCCCTGGGGACGGGTAATTTAGGGTTAGCTGTATGTCCGGGTATCCACGGGTCGGGTTCCCTCAAACCCGAACCCGCCCCAACCCGCCCAACCAGTCACCGGGTTTAAACCCGAACCCGGCCCGAACCCAGTCAACACGGGTCTTACTCGGTTTGACCGGGTTGGGTCGGGTCGGGTACCCGCGGGTCCGGGCTGAACTGCCATCCCTAACTGGAAGAAGATTTGGAATCTCCCTATTCAGCCGAAAATCAAAATTTTTCTATGGAGGATTAGCAGAGACATCTTACCGGTTGGTGCCAACATCGAGAAACGGATCGAAGAAGCTTCCTCCGAATGCCCCTTCTGTGGACTCCCAGAAACTCAGGTCCATTGTCTCAGGGACTGCGAGTGGAATCGTCGTCTCTGGAAACCTCGTAACGATCTTGGTATCTTCAGTCAAGGGGAAGGGCTCTCTGGACACGACTGGTTCCATAAAGCTTTTGCGACGCAACCGGAAGAAAATCTCCAAAATTTTTGTGTTGTTCTCTAGTTCATCTGGAAGGAGAGGTGCAATCACATGTTCAATTACAGAAAGATGGAAGATGAGTAGATTATCCCGAGAGCTCTGGATTGGTTATCTAATTACCTCAAGGCGCAGGGAATCACAGCTTCAAACGTAAGACAGCCTGCCGATCTCAAGAGATGGAGAAAACCACCAGCAGGGATCTACAAGATGAATAGCGACGCGGGACTTCTGAAACCATCTGGGATTGGCATGGGCTATGTGTTCAGAAATTGGGAGGGGGATTTTTTGGGAGCAGCAGCTGGGAAAGAGGAAGGAAGTTGCAGACCGATCGAGGCGTAGGCCAAGGCCATCATAGTTGGATTGAAAGAGGCGAATCGAAGAGAATTGAGCCCTCTGATTGTGGAGTCTGACTGTTTGAACTTGGTTAGATTACTGGATAAGGGCGATGAAGACCGAACTGAGCTGGGTGTGTGGTGCAAGGAAATTCGAGATCTAGCTGAATTCAACTCGGGTTTGTCTGGGAGAAGGGTTGAATGGGCTTATGTGCCGAGAGATTCTAATTGTGTTGCCCACTACTTGGCCCATTTGGCTATTCATGGGCACCATTTCTGTATCTGGACTGATAGTCCACCTTGCTCCATTAGGAGCCTGTTAGAGGCTGACAAAGCCCAAAACGCTTATTATTAATCTATGCTAGCAGGGCTTTTCTTTCAAAAAAATTTAGTAGAGAGCGAGAAGATGGAAAGTCTCCTTCCTTTTTCTAACTTTTAATATTCTCCCTCTTTTTCAGTTTTTTCAACTAAACCAAAATAGGGATAGAGGGATTAATAGAAGGGAATTCTTCTACCAAAAAATGGAAGGGAATCTTTTTTATTTGTAAGTAACCCTTCATTCTATGATGATAATTAAATTTTAGTTTCATAATTTTTTTGTGTAATGATTTTTTCTTTTAGACTCGATAATTCTTTTTATAATGCTGTTAATCATGAAGTCAAAGTTTTACAACAAAAAAAAAAAAAATCATGAAGCCAAATTGATTTACATGATTTGGCTTCATTTTCTTTTACAATCATTTTCTATCGCTATTCGGTATGCTTAATAAGAACAAATATTTTATGTTCATAATAAGAAGACATCATTATAAACACTGGTTTGTATATATATTTTTAGCTTGGTACCTTCCAGATATTAATTGAGTAGAATAACAAGTCTTCAACAAACCTATCTAAAAGTAATTGTCGAAAATACTAGTATAATATCCAATTTCAGTTATCTCCTTAAAATAAACGATTATCGTAAAAAAATCATGGTAAAGAAAACCGTACCGGACATCATACCGGATTCCTTTCTGGTAGGGTATTTTGTGGTACAACCGTGGTTCAACCGTTTTGTACCGGTAAATACAGTTTTTGTAATAATAAAATTTTTTTTTTTTTGTCAAATAACCGTGTCGGCAAAATCAGAGTACCGTCTCGGAGTAATACCGGATGTATCGGGATATACCGGACAATAAATGAAAATAATACAAGTAGTTAGCAAATTAATAGAAAAAAAGAAAAAATTTTAAACAATAATTATTTTTTATAAAAAACTTTCCCATCATTTAATAGGTTGCTGATCCTCCACCCTTTCCCCATCTTCCGTTCTTCCTCTCTCTCTCACACACATACATATCGTCACCATGACCAAACTGCATCCGATTGCAAAATGCAAACCCAATCTCACTCCCACCTTAGGTAACCAATTCTTGGAGCGAGAGCGTGAAATCGTCTATTTTAGAAGAATCCAACATCGAGAACGTGGAAAAAGCGCCATTATTATATTATTTTTTATTAAAATGTGTACCAAAATTGAATATTTAGAATACATTTTGTAAAAATGCATGCGAGAGTGAAAAGTGGGTGAAATGATTTAGTAGCTCTTGGTATCAAAATGATTTACTAGCTAGTACTATTATGATGTTAGAATAATGAAAATTTAATTGAAATGGGGATCAAAATTATTATAATAAAAAATGTCATTTTATTTCTCTTCCCCACCCACCACCATGTACATCCTCAATAAACGCCTTCCTATTCTTAACCTCTTCTTTCTCCGTACCACTTCAAAGCAGAGGAAGAAAACCAGTTCAAGCTTTTATCGCTTTTTCGGATACCGGAATATGCCGGTTACGCCGATTATACCGGCCGGCACGGTAGAAAAGGGCTGGTAGGGGTGACGTTTCGTCACTGGCCCGATTTCCGGTTTTACCAGTTGAACCGGCCGGTACGATCCGGTTTCCTTTACCATGAAAAAAATAAGAAAATAATTATGTGCACCATGTTTATTTGTGGTTAGTTAAAAAAGGAAAATAACTTACAAAATTAACAATAAAGAAATAGAATCCACCAATAATAATGGACAATGTGGTTGGGTGGTGTATGGTCAAATTTTGGGTGGGGAATGGGAAGAAGAGGAGGAAAATACTATTGTTAGCTCGCTGTGATATTATTGCTACCTATTATGGCAAAATACTTTGTCATTTAACAATTCAGAAGACATGATATAATAAAAGCTACTCTGATAGTATAATTTGTCACTTTTGTGTCTCTTACATCCCGATATGGGATGCCTATTTTGACAAACTTAATTTGACACGAAATATTTGTCACATTACTCACTTTAAATGACGAATTATACCGAATTTGTTGTAGTATTATCTTCAAGGTCAGCGGCACCCCTCCGGTCTCAAATAGTGAGAGTACTGATAAACTCTAGAATAACCACCCGATATATATGATCTTGAATAGAGAGCAACTTGAGTCATTCCAACTTCTGTACTTTAGAGAGGATTGCATCTTCAATTGCGAGTTAGGCGAAAAGGGTCCAATTGAGACAAGAACTTTCTCCTATAGGTAATCCTTGAAGCCACAAAAGCTTGCTCTTGAATTTCTAGGGCATGTGTTCCAAAAAGTAGTGAGTGATGTGCTCAACGTTGCCTTCTACATTTTCTTGATCATCTTGATGAAGTATCCTTGATGGATGTTGAAGATGTGAGGTTGGATGAGGCTCTTCAATAAACACTTCTTTTGATTTGGATTTCCTTGTTTTCTTCTTTTGACCTTGGCGAAGACGAGAGGTGCGAGAGGTGCGAGCTCTCACAATGAGCCATGTCTTGTATATTATCATTCAAAACAAGTGGTACAAATTTGCACAAAGATCAATCCAAAAATCACATATCAAAAGGATAGCATTTCAATGAACTATCATTAGACCTCTAAATCCCCCCCCCCCCCACCCAACACTTGGGTGAGACTAAGAATTCGGAAAGAGAGGGAAATTAAGTAGAGAGATAGATCCAAGATAATATAATAAAGGACATCCCTAAATCAATGTGGAAACAATTAATGATCATCACCCCATGCTATGAAGTTGATACCTAATCAAAAGGATTGAAAATAATGAACTCTATATGGTTGGGGACTTTCTACGAACACTTGGTAGGTTGTTTTGAAAATGTCATAAATGCATGAGAGCAACTCACAAAATGTTTCTAAAGTAACATAGGTGGTTCATTAAAGAGAAGAAAAACAATTCAATGCCGTAAAGATGGGGTTAATTGCATGGTTGGTCACTGAGATTACAAAAAACATTCAAATTTGGTCACTCGATATATTCAAATCCATTGATGGTACTTCAGTTACCTGAAACCGTTCACGTTT